CTGCCCTTTTCCGCCCCGGCCTCGCCGGCATCTCCCGCAGCACCACCATCGTGGGCGCCTACGTCATGGCCGTCACGGAGCTGAGCTGCCAGGAGGTGCTGGACGCCGTCCGGACCCTCCGCCCCGTCGCCAACCCCAACCCCGGCTTCAGGCAGCAGCTGGCTGAGTTCGGCGGTGGCGAAGCCCGCAAGGTGGGCACGATTTGGGGACCGGCCCCTGCCATTGTGCTCTGCTCCGCAGCTGAGCCCACTCAGAGCCAGGGGGATGCTTCCCTGCTCCCCTTGCTGGCAGGCTCGGACTTGCCCTCGGGAACAAGCACCTTAATTTGCTTCTCCCTCCTTCCCCAGGTCCGCAGGCACCTGAAGCAGAGGTACGGGGCATCCCCCTTCAACGACGAGGAAGAAATAAAGGCCCTGCTGCCGATGGGGAGAGGGGGAACACCCAGGACGGAGGGAGCTCGGCAAGGGCTGGTCCCGAGAGCCAGGGACATCAGGAGCACGACTCCCTTCCTGCTGCGGGTGAAGAGGACGTTCTCCTGCATCCCGGCCTGCCTGAAGTGACCCCAGCCAAGGGAGAGCAGCGGGAACCACCCCAGAGCCTGGGGCAGACCAGGCAGCCGCAGCACGGGGGGGCAGAGGAGCGCTGTGCAGGGGAGCCCCCCAAAGATCAGCTCCTTCCTCTCATCTGGGGTGCAAGGGTGCTGTCCTCTGCGCTGGCTCTCGGCTGCCAGGAGGGATTTGTATGCACTGCCCGGCTCCGCAGCGCTCGGTGGGCTCAGGTCCTTCGTGCCCAGCATTTTGGGAACACCTGGTGACAGAGCAACTGACACCCCCCAGGTCACCACAGGCTCCTGCAGAGCCACAGAGGGATCTCTCCTGCTATGGGGCCAGCACCCAGGTGATGCCAGCAGCAGCTTTGGCACTTCGGTACCCACTGCAGGGGGCTCGGGGTGTGCACGAGAGGCGGCTTTCCCCTCGAAGCAGTTTTCCCACCAGCAGCACAAGCTCGGAGCAGGGGGTGCGATGTGGGTAACGCAACGCGGGTCATCGGCTCCCAGGCGTGGGCACAGCCCCAAGCCCGGCCAACCAGCCCTGGGAGCCCATCGCACCCCATCCCCACCCATCCCAGGGCACAATCTTTACACGGTGGGAACTGAGCGTTTAACCTGGCCAGACCTCACTAAAGCAGAGCCTTAAGCCATTTTGCTTAAAGACTTTCTACACCCCCCAGTAATAAACACTTGTTCTCCATGGTCTGCCTCAGGTGCAGTTTGGGTCCCCTGCAATGGTTGGGGCAGGAGGGGGACGCTGAGGAGAAAGGTCCTGGTGTGGGGCAGAGGGGGATGCTGGTGGCTCTCTGCAGGCCATGGCGTAGCAGGGCAGGAGTGCAGTGGGCACTCACATGGAGCTGCTTCACTGCAGCCTCTTCACTCACCCAAGCTGGATCCTGCCAGGAGCACTGGGACCAGGACCCTGCTGGCTACTGGGAATGCTGGGATTCCAACCCCAGCTCCTCCCCAGTCTGGTCCTATTTATGTCTTTCCCCGGGGCTGAGTCCCAGGTAGGGAAAATGCTGGGGATGCTGAGCTGGGTCATCAGCATCACCCGTGCTGGGAGCCAGAGTGCGTTTCTGGGTTCCCCCATCCCCACCAGCCCTTTTCCGCAGGGGTTGGTGTCCCCCAGGAGCCAGACAGGAACAGGGACAGGGACAGGGACAGGGAAGTTCCCAGCTCTGCATGCAATGGGGTGCCAGACACGGGATCTCAGAGTGAAGGAGCATCCTGGGGCATGGGGGATGGTGATGACCCCACATCCCAGGACCACAGACCTGTGGTGTGAGCTGGTGTCAGCCCCACACTGGGACATGCTGGGTAGAGGCATTTACACCCGGGGATTCCCTGTTCACGCTGCCAGGCCATGGTGAGGCCATACACAGAGCAACGGCACCTCCAGCCCTGCTCCACCATATGTATTTATTTTGGCAGATCTCTCTGCAAAACTGGAAAAACCCAGGTGATGGCAGGGTTAGCTGCGAGTTAATGTTTGACTGCCTTTGAAACCCATTTCAGCATGAAAGTTTTCAGGGTTAAGCAGCTTCACCTTCCCTGTGCAGGGAGCAGCACAGCGGGGCAACGGGCCCCCGAGCGTCTTCGCTGATGCCAGGGTAATCAGGCCCCGTGTGTCACCCTGCGGCTGTCACACGAGATGAAATCCCTGGCTGAGAAAGGCTCACC